AACCCCTAGGGGTCACGCAGAAGTTGAGGTGAAGCTGGAGCTAAATGTATCCCACTTGGTCACCTATGTGGGGAGCACCTTTGAAGGAGACTGAAACCAGGGGGTTGTGACAATCTCTGTACCTTTTGATTGTCATCCTTTTTTCCCCAGGGCCTCGGTGGCACAACGGTTAAAGTGCTTGGCTGCTACCCAACACAGATGGCGGGTGGTTCGAATGCGCCAGCTGCTGCCCGGAAGAAGTGGCTATCTGCTTCGGAAAGCGGGCAGCCTTGGGAACCTACTCTGCTCTATAGGACTACGAGACAGAATCAACTTGACAGTCATGGGTTTGGGGTTTTTAAAAATTACTTATTCCCACAGCCTACCAGTTTTCCACACTGTGGGGGTTTGTGGGTTGCTATGAAGCTGGAAGACACCTATGGACATGGTGCGGGGGCAGTGGATCATGTAATGTGGATCTTCTAGCCAATCTTGGAATGCCAGCCAAATCACCCCTTCCTGCAGGGGACTGCTAAGGATTCACCTGTGAGGAACTGTGAACTGTGAACGGGATTCACTGGACTGCCTCCTGCTGCATATAAAAAGAGCCCTCTGAGAAGCGTGGTGGGGGAGGGTTCCTCACTACCAGCAAGTGTCAGGAGTGGAGCGTGTTCTCTGGACCAGAGATCCCTGTGCAGTGAATCTCCTGCATCCAGAAGACAGCTACAAGATCAGAGCTGCAGCATCTGAACCAGGAGCCTGAGTATGGAACAGAGGGGGGGACTTTTTCCAGCCCCCAGAGCCAGTCAAGCTGAGTGCTTTGGGGCAGAGGCTGCTTATGGAGTGGGGTGCCTCTGGGCACTTAATTCAGGGAGCTGAGTTTGCTGACCCATGGAGCTTCAGCTGAATGCCTGAAGGACTGGGGATTACAGTGGAGTGGTAAGCCCTGTGCCTGTCTATTGATAGCCTTGAAAAACTTTGTGACACGATGGATGGATGGATGGATGGATGGATGGATGGATGGGATGGATGGTGATAAGAGTTGTAGGAGCCCCCAATAAAATGATTAAAAACAAACCAAAAACTTTGTGACATGTCCCAATGAACAACTCTATCCTGAGCCTTCCTCACTTGCATTACACCTATTAACTTCCTTAATAAACCCTTTAATCATGGATACTGCCTGAGTTCTGTGTAGCCATTGCAATGGACATCAGAACCCAGATATGAAAAGAGAGTATGAGTGAAGACTACACAGGTGGGGTGTTGAATACAAAGACCAAAGAAGAATCAATGCATTTGAATTATGGCGCTGGTACAGAATATTCAAAGTACCAGGGGCTGCAAAAGAACAAACAAATCTGTCTCGGAAGGAGTACAGCCAGAATGGTCCTTAGAAGTATGGTGGGACTTGGTCTCATGGACGTTGGACACGTTACCAGGAGAGACCAGTCTCTGGAAAAGGACCTCATGCTTGGTCAAGTGGAAGGGCAGTGAAAAGAGGAAGGCTTTCAGTGAGGTGGACTGACAAAGGGTCTATAACAGAACACTCCTACAACACCTGAGAGGAGGGGGTTCAGGACCGGGCGCTGGTTCCTTCTGTTGGACGTGGGGCTGCTCTAAGTCAGAACCGAGTTGATGGCTCCGAACAGTGTGTGCAACCTGTCGTTGTCCAATCAAACAGAACCAGGGGGCACTGTACGGTTTTGGATCAGGAAAGGGGCATCAGGTTGTGTCCTTTCACTGTTCTTAGACAATTGATCTGCACGCTGCGCAAATAATCCCAGAGCCCGGACTGGATGAAGAGCAGGGCAGCAGGGTTGGAGGAGGGCTTATTCACAGCCCGTGACACACAGATGACACACCTTGCTCACTGAAGGAAGAACTTGGAGCATTTGTTGATGAAAATCAGACTGCTGCCTCCAGGATGCATTGTGAAGAAACCAATGTCAAGAAAACCCCAATCCTCCTAACTGGCCCACATCATGATAAACGGAGAAGACGAAGTTGTCAAGGATGTTGTCTTGCTGGGATGGATCCGCAATCCATGCTCATGGAGGCAGCACTCAAGAAACCGAGCAAGTTGCACTGCGGCTTCACAAGACCTCTTCTCTTTACAGCCGCGGTTCTCGACCTTCCTCAGGCCGCGACCCTTTCACAGTTCCTCATGTGGTGGTGAACCCCGACCATAAAATTATTTTCGTTGCTACTTCATCACTGTCATTTTGCTGCTGTGATGAATCGGGCAGCCCCTGTGAAAGGGCCATTTGACCCCCAAAGGGGTCAAGTTGAGAGCCCTGCTTTAAAGTGTTGAAGACCAAGGATGCCATTCTGAGAACTAAGGCGCACCTGACCCTTGGGTTTTTATCACCTGATGTGCATGTGAGAGTTGGACAAGGAATAAGACTGAAGAATCGGTATGTCTGAACTATGGTGCTGGTGAAGAATCTTTAATGTATACTGCCAAAAGAACAAACCAATCTCTCTTGGAAGGAGCCAGGATGCTCCTTAGAAGCGATGATGAGGACACTTCGTGTCTGGTAGTTTGCACATGTTATCAAGGAGTCGTCCCTGGAAAAGGACATCATGCTTGGTAGAGGGCCAGCCAAACAAGAAGACCCTTGATGAGATGGATTGACATAGTGGCTGCAACAGCGTGTTCAAACCACACTGGCACACAACCAGGCAGTGCTTCATTCTCTTGTCCAGAGTCAATATGAGGGGGAACACAATCAACACCCACGTTAACAAGAGTCCCCCAAACTACATGATGTTTTACACTCAGCTGCAACACAAATGACAGATTGCAATGGACTGCCAGCAGATCTTTGAAGTGCTACATAGCAAAGAAGTCACTTTGAGGGCTCAAGCGGGCCAGACGCGGCCACTGCATTTTCACTGGTCTCCTATGCATGTGAAAGCTGGCCAAGGGGTCAGGGAGACTGAAGACTTGGTGCACTAGAATTGTGCTGACCGAGAAGAGTGAGATCGCCATGGTCTTCCAGAGAAAGACAGTCTGTCTTGAAAGAAGTAAAGACAGAATCGAATGCTCCTTAGAAGAAAGGAGATGGGCATCTGGGCTTGTTACCAGGAGGGACCAGTCCCTGGAGAAAACCATCGTGCTCGGTAGAGGGTCGGTGAAAACGAGTCAACAATATGAACTGGCAACACTGGGTTCAAACACTTCCACAGCACTGAGGAGCACTCAGGACCGGCAGTGTTTGGTTTTGCTGTACATGAGGAGGCAAGGAGTCGGGACTGACTCAAGGGGACCTAGCTACGACTACTCACCCAGATATTTATAAACCAGCCTACTGCTACATAATGGAGCAAGAACCCCCTTTCTCTTGCCCACCCCCACCCCCAGTCATGGGACTTGTTTCATTGTTTTAAGATGTACGGGGCGGGGCAGGGAGGAGGAGTGCGGTGCTCTGTCCTGCATACATCTGTGTTTTAGCTGTTAGATCCTATCACAAAGAAAATGTACTTCTGTCACTTGAATGTACAGGCACACAAAGACACACACACAGGAACACATGGGCATGCATGTTTAAATGTGTGCCTATAGACACACCTGTACTTCTATATGTACATACGCGCATGTAAGCAGGTCATGCGACCACACACTTGCAGCAGAAACCACAGGTGCCATTGGTGGCCAGGGCTCCTCCCACCCTTCCTCAGGTGCTGATCATCCTGTGGTGCCCTAGGGTCAGCCAGGCAGAGATTCAGGGTAGGCCCCAGGAGGCTCTGGACTGGGGAGAGCCTCTGAGGAGGCACTTCCACTCTCCCCAGCCACAGGGGCACCCTTGGCTCCCTCCTCTGGGTAAGCTTCCAGTCCCCAGAGGCAGGGGTGGATAGAGACCTATGAAACCTCTGGTAGAGGGGCTGCTGGTTGGGGCAGGCAAGGGGAACATGGCCAAGTATGCATGCCTGTCGGTGCTTCACCCAAGTAGGTCCCTGGAATACTGTCCTGCTGCCCCTCAGCCCACCACACGTGAGGTGGCAAACAATGTGTGGGAGATCCCTAATCAACATGGGGTTCCAGCCAGGGTGACAGCATCAGGAACTGGACCAAGAGGAAGCCAAGGGCCCTAGAGCAGCACCGAAAGGGCCACATAGCCACCTGCGCCCTACTCTGTACCGGCATCCTCAAGGCAACCATGGTGGTCCAAGAAAAATGAAGGGCTCTGTGGAGCCCTGTGCCAGGGAGTTTGGAGTCGGGGGTGGGGTGGGGGGTAGGGCAGAGGGAATAGACCACAGACCACAGCTTGGGGACTCTGGAATGGGTAAAGCTGTTTTCTGTGCTCAGACCAAGAGACACGGGCCTCACCCTGGCCCAAGGGGTAGAGGCCCCCAGCTGGGATAACCCTAGATACCAGAGCACCTCCTTTTGATCCACTACTCTGCTGTCAAGAAAGCAACCACGGAGCCTGGGGAAGGGGCCCAGTTTCTTCTACGTTTATTGCAACTGCTACGAGATGAACAACATTCACAACACCCTCCCCCTTTGTAACACCACAACGTCAGCTAGGTTAACAAGGACCAAACACTCTGAAACCTCCTCGGGTCCCAGTGACAGATGAGTAGTCAGCACCAGGTGGCTGGCCAGCACTTCCCGATGTCGCCATCCTTTCAGGGCACCCTAGAACCAAAGAAGATGCGTGAGCCGGGGAAAGCCTCACCCTGGAGCCCTGCGCTCTTTGGAGTGTGTTCAGCTCTGCAGGTGTGGGCCCCTGGGGCCACAGACACTAGGCCTGGACACATCCACGCCCTCTTGGGCCCAGCCATCAGGTCCATGGAGCTCTCCAGGGGGTCACTATCCCAAACCAGAAGGAGATGGCAGAGACACATGGTGCCCACATCAGGGCAAACAGAAAACGATCTCACTTACTGAGAAAACTGTAGTGTCAAAAAACGAACACACCTGGGGACAGGGGTCTGAAGGTGGAGGGGACAGTGAACCAGAGCCATGCTGGCACTGGGCCCCTTCAAAAAGGACCCCGAGGCCCAGGCTGATCCCTGACCAGGTCTGCAGGGGAGGTGCCCAGAGAGCTGGGCAAGCCAGTGTGGAAGGCAGGACCTGCACCTGCTGCTCCATGGTCTGTGGACTGGGGTTCCTCCTCAGGGCCAACATGCTAACTTTCCAATGGGCGTGACCAGATACTGACAGCTGACACCACAGAAGCCTGGGAATCCACTCAGTGGCTACATCTGACCCAAAGAAAAACCTCAGCTGTTTGGCATAGGGTCGGGGGTGAGGGGTGGGTGGGCTACACAGTAAATAGGCCAGTGGGTGGAGGTTCTCTCCTTGCCCTCTGCCCCGGGCTCTGTCAGAACACGCTGCTCGGAAGTCAGTGGAGCGGACTCTCACGCTGATTAAAAACATCAGCCAACATTTTATGAGGGAGGGCCCAAGCTGAGTCATAAGAAGCCACACCCCTAGGGATGACAAACAGCTGTAGCTGCACTCCCTCCATGCTGTTCCGCTCTCCTGACAGCCTCTCGGCAGCAGATTCCACTGAGGCTTCTGAGGACACGTGCAGACACAGGGTATCGAGCTACTAGTGGGCCTCCCACTAAAAGGAGCCTGCTGGGTTGGGCTGAGATGCCACCAGCCCTGGGTGGATCATTCCACCTGAGTTCCCGTCCACAACTCTGTCAGATATCATATCTCCCCTCCGGTTCCCAGAGCTTCTGAAGCTTCACACCGCTTCGATGCTCTGGACAAGTGTCAGAAGCCAGGATCGGGTACTGCTTCTGTGGCCTGCTTAAGGATGGGGGAGCCCTCTGGGGAGCTGCTCGCTGGGCCTGGACACCCGCCAGAGCGGCCAGGAAGCGCATAGCACCCGCTGCTCGAAGCCCTCAGTGGAGAGGGTGAAACCACCGGCCATTTGAAGTGGTGGCATCCGTTTTCTCCAGGAAAGCCAAGCTGGACCCCAGATGCAGGCACTACCAGGTCATCTGCGAACAGGCTTCAGGCTTCAGAGACACAACTTCAGGCTTCTAGCTCTTGTTGGGTCACTTTGGACCACTCAGGAAGGGAACAGTTTTTGCTCACAATCCGAGTACAAAGTGAGGGGTGTGGAGAGGGAACAGTTCAGAGCTGGAGAGATGAGTACAGTGAAGAGGCCCACTCTCTTCAGGGGGGGACCTGAGGACCTAAAGAAGGGACCTGATGAGCCCGCCCCACCATTCCCAACAGGACTGGCATCCTGGCCCGCCTGCCCACCCACCACCTCCTGGGACGACAAGTCCACTCCCAACTGGGGAACAAACAGCCTGTTTCCTGCTGGTGGCACAGGGTGGGCGGCTGTCATCTGTCAGACAACTTGAGCAACATAAGCCACAGGCGCCCCATTCCACGTGCCCAGCAGGGAGCAAGGCGCCAGCCTACTGACCAGGGTCACCGGTGGAAGGCTGTACCCAGCTTCAGGGGCTATAGAGACCTGCAACAAAACCTCCTATGCCCCCTCCGCCTACCGCACGCCTGTGCCCCAGGCTCACTCCCCGGGCGCCTGGCACCCCGTGTGAACATACCTACTTGTTTGCCCGCTTGTGTCTGTACATCTGCATCATCCTCTGGCGGAAGACATCAAAGGTGTCCTCTCTGTGCTCCTGCCCGTCAGCCCCCAGCCCCTCACCTTCCGAGGCAGTGCCCCTGTAGAGGCAAGCAGAGAGTCAGCCCCTCGACTGAGCTTGACCAGGACACTGGCAGGAATGTCACCCTGAGCCCCCAGCTCCTGGCAGCATGCCATGTGGGCAGGCTGGTCTGGGTAGTTTGGTCTGTGAGTGGGCGCAGGGTGTCGTGGGAAGGATCACTCCCACAGCAGTAGTGACGGGCTCCTGCAACGTGAGAGATGGGCTAGCCCTTAACTCCGTGGAAATTCCACGAAGTCCTCAGGAACACAGTTGACGTGAAGGGAACTGGAAGGCAGTCAGAGTTGACGCAGGATCAGAGAGGACCTGTGCATGTGGACAATCAGCCTCTCTTGCTCAAATCAGAACTATGAGGGCTTTAAGCCCGTCTTCAATACAGTGGGACCAGAGTCCGGCTGGGGTTAGAGGACAAAAGGTTCATCCCCTGGCATTGATGCTACCTGCCACTCACCACAGTCTGAGCCTCATGGGCGCCCACTACGTACACACTGACTGGCTCCCGGATGCCACCCCCACAGGAGCCCAGGCCATGGCCCTCCTTCCAGCCCATCTTCTGGAGCATCTGGAAGCCCACATTCTTGTCTGTCAGCTTCTGCTGGGCGAATTCCAAATCCTTGGGCTTCTGGGGAGAGAAGGGATGTAGATTCAGTGCAGCCAGTGGGCCCCTCCTCTTCCTAAGCAATGGCACTGAGGCAAGGGCTCAGAGCCCAAATGCCCAGGATGAGGTCACAGCGAACTGCCTGGGAAGGCTGGTAGCCACAGCCCTCAGCCCCCAAGGCTTGACAGCTGCCCACAATGAACCCTGAGTGAGACACATGCTAGTGTGGGCCCCCACAGCAAACAGTGGAAATAGGAACTGATGTCCCAGAGTTCCAATGTCCCAGCTGGGGGTGGGGGCGGGGGTAGAAAGGGCAGGGGAAGAATAGAGTAGGGCTTCTCAAGCCAAGCTACTAGGGTCCAGAAGGGTGGTCCTAGACTCGAGGGCCAGTAGGGTAGCTGAAACTGCTTGGCTCTCATCTAGCCACCAGGCCTGCTGTGACCACCCTGGCTGTGTGCCAAGACCATGCATAGGAGGCCAGGGTGACAAGTCTTGGGGCTTTGGTGTCAGTAAGTAGACCCCTGAACACAGACCAAAGAAAAGACCAAGGAGGGCCTGGGAGCCTGAGCTGGGAGGTGGGAGGGTTGACTGCAGCCCTGATTCCACTAGCCCCAGGCCGGGCTCTCCTCTCAGCATGCCACCCTCACCAAATCTTCTGGCTGTACACCTGCACTAGTGTGCTGACAATATGAGGGTGGGCACCATCAGCCTGCTCCTGCTGCCTGGGGGAGGGATGGTACCAGCACACACCTCCCACCCCCACTGTCCGACAGCAAAGTCCCAACCTCCTCAACTCTCAGCCTGATGCCTGCTAGTCCCGAGGGCTGGCTCCAGTTGGAGAGGCAGACTGCTTGTCTTATACACTCGGGCATCTTCAGAGCTGACCACCCCTGGAGGAAGACAATCTCACCTTCTTTTTGGACATGGGACGGCCCCGGGGTCTGTCGTAGGCAATTCGAACTGGCTCGTGAACTGGAAGACAAAAGAGCAAAGTGTCAGGGGATCCAGGACAGATGAACCCTTCAGGACCAATGGTGAGAGTGGCTATACCGGGAGGGTGGAGGGAAGGTGGGGTAGAAAGGGGGAATAGATTATAAGGATCTACATATAACCCCCTCCCTGGGGGACGGACAACAGAAAAGTAGGTGAAGGGAGATGTCGGACAGTGTAACACATGACAAAATAACAATAATTTATAAATTATCAAGGGTTCAAGGGGGGGCGGAGAGGAGGGGAAAAATGAGGAGCTGATACCAAGAACTCAAGTAGAAAGCAAATGTCTTGAGAATGTTGAGGGCAACAAACGTACAAATGTGTGAGGGAGGGGGGAATGGGGAGGGAAGGGGCAAAAACAAGGAGCTGATACCAGGGGCTTACATGGAGAGCAAATATTTAGAAAATGATGAGGGCAACAAATGTACAGATGGATGTATGGATTGTGATGAGTTGTATGAGCCCCCAATAAAATGATCTTTTTAAAAAAGGAAAACAATGAACAAATGTGCTTGACACAATGGATGGATGGATTGTGGTAAGAGTTGTACAAGCCCCCAATAAAATGATTTTAAAAAAAAAGTATAAGCATACACAGACGGCTGCCCTAAGGACTTCCCCAAAGGGCTTTGGGAGCAATTTCAGCTTCCGATCCCTGCAGAGAAGGCACCTTCCATCTGCACGCCCTGCCATGCCATTCCCAGGTCTGTATCGCCCAAGTGGGTGTAACCAGGGTCCACCTCACTTTGGGAATATGCACCATGAAGTGTACCCCTGCCTCCCCAGTTTCTAACCACGAGCTGATCCGCAGGCAGATCTGGCTTGCCAGCAGGAACTGATCCTCCCCCAGGGGCAGCTTCCTCCCAGCATGATGCCGCTAGGGCAGGAGGGCCGCCACTCCTTAGCTGGACGGTTAATGGCTCCAAGGACTTCCCCCAGGACCAGCATCCATGCTTCCTAACCAGGATGTGACTTTTGACAAAAAGTCGCTTCAGTTACTCACATAGGACATACAGCTCTGAGAAACCCACTGATCCCAAGGGGGACACGTCTCAGTTCTGACACTCAACTGCCACCCAGGATACGTGTGAAGAACATAAGAGTGTGGCACAGCAGCTGAAGCTCCAGTTTGTCCCATGGCATCTGTGTGCATTTGCATATCCCTTGGGGCCACAGGAGGACCCTAACAGGGACTGATATGGATCTGGAGAACAGGGGGCAATTACCCCCACCTCCCATCCCCTCTGCCCAAGAGCAGCCCCCACAGGTGGAAAACTGGCACTGGCAGGAAGGGTGGTTCTGATGGCCCAGCCCCGACACAGGGGGGTGAGTGTGTGTATGTAGCTGCAGGGGTAGGCGGTCCCCCTGAAAGGGCTGGAGTCTATGCTTTGTGAACTATGGTCCCCACACCAGAGAATGCCAGCGGCCACGACTGCAATGGACTTCCTTAGGCTGGTCTCTGGCCTTGGCTCAAACACAGGTAGGGACAGAAAGCCAGCATCCCAAGGTCACAGTGAAATGCCAGGCCCCCTCCCCACAGCAGGGCTTGGAGAACAGGCAGATGTGCCTGGCATGTGGGGTTCACGGGAGCCCCTCACAGAGGTATTGACTCCAGACTGGAAACTGGAGTTTTACCTCAACACAGGTATAGGTGCCCTTGGGATACTGACTTACCCAACTGCTCAAGGAAAAATACCAGAGGAGTCCCTGGATTGTATACACTTGACAATTAGAAGAAAAGGAGGTGGGGCAACCTACCTAGAGGGACCAAAGAAGAAAGGCTTGGAAATCTGTTTCAGAGCCTTGAAACCCTACAGGATACAGATCTACTCTGTACACATGTACATACACATGCGCACGCACACACACACATACATGCATGAAAGCCAGCACCCCTCAGCCCCGTGGGCACCCAGCCAATACTATTGGTGAGACTCTGAGGTTGGATAACTGTGGAGAGTCAAGTCCTGCTTGAGCAGATCACCCAAGTAGGGTACAGGCAGAGGCAGGAGGGAGACAGGCCAAGAAGCAAGGGGTCTAGGGGCCCAGCCCACAGCTCTCACCTTTGGGCTCCTGGATGAGACACACCCTCTTGGGGGCTGGGATCATGCCAACCTTGAGCGATTTGCTGCTGACCCTCTTTCGGGGAAAGCAGGTCCCTGTGGTGGCCTGAGACGGGGCTGGGGTGCTGGCCGGGTCGTCTTCAGTGGCTGTGCTTGGGAGGCCATCTGTGGGGGTGCTACCCTCAGAGCCCACGGAAATGTCGGCCGCTCCTTCAGGCTGAGAGGCCTCTCCAAGTGCAGGGGTCTCCTCGTCATCCTCCTCCTCGTCTTCTTCCAGTTCAGCCTCCTGCGGGGGGCGTGCCTCCCCACACACCCCATCCCCCTCCTGGAAGTCTGCCTGGACAGTGGGTGGCGATGAGGGGAAACAAATTGAGGGGCACAGTTCATATACTTTCTTCCGATAAAACTTGAAAGCTGAGCTGTTCTGGTCATGCAGGAACCTAGGATGAGGTAAGAGGCATGGGTCAGGGCAGCAGGAGGCAGGGGCAGTGAGGAAGCCGATCCCACCCTGCCTTCAGGACAAGCAGGACCAAGGCAGTTCCCTGTCCTGATGCCGTGTCTCTATGAGAAACTAGGGTGGAGGTAACCCTATCTTCCCCCACCACAGGCTGATGGAATCACCTGTCATCAAAGACCAGCCACCAGCTGAGCCGCCTCTTGCATGGCAGTCAGGGAGATGGACTAGCTTTCTCAGGTGCTATGCCCCCCACCCCACCATCCCCCTCGTGCCCTGGACACGTGGGCTGTTTCCCCCGCGGCCCCCCTGCCCTAAGTGATCTCTCCCTCCCCTCCTCTGGCCAACTTGTGAAAACATCCCTCTGCGGGGATTTTTTCCTGATGCCCAGAGAGAGTAGAGGCTCCTGCTCCAGAGTGTGGCCCCTGCCCCTGAGGCGGGAGCAGATTCATGACTCCCCGCAGTACCCAAAGGGCCATGGGATACACACCACAGATCAGGGTTGTCAGCGCTGTTCTCGATGCTGAACTGCTCAATCTCTGGTCCCACCTGAGCCACGAACCGCGCCAGCTTCTCCGCTGTCTCCATTGTTTTTTCATCAACTGCAAACAAGGCACTGTCAGGGCTGGCTCTGCAAGAATGCTACGCTGTGCCACCTGGACAGGCGAATTCCCATACCCCTGGCCTAACAAGAGGTAGACATGCTGAGGAGCTGGCTTTAGGCCCAGAACCTGCCCGTTGGGCAAAACGAGATGGCCAGCAAGGGTGTCCTGCCCCAATGCAGTCTGTTCTAGGTTCTCTGGCACGGTGGCGAGGCTTGGTAGGGCTCTGGGGTCCCTCCTCCTGGGAGAGAAGCTCTGACCTTAGGGACAGGCCACCTGGGTTAAGGCTGTGGCACCATGTAGAACCCAGAGCTTGGTCAGCCTTGAGGAGGGAACCAGGGGCCCTCCCAGGGAGCTGCAATGCAGGAGGCCAAGGGGCTCTTTTGCACCCTTATCCTGGCAGGCCTCCCCCCAGGTTGCATGGCCACCCCTCTGGGAGAACTTGGACATTGGAGCTGGATAGGGGGAACTCACCGTCGGTAGATGGGCAAGGAGAACCGGGCTGAGAGGCTTCAGGGGCACCCACTCGCTCTGGCTCGGGTGCTGTGCCTGAGGCCTCCAAGTTGGGGTCCTGAGGAGCAGGTGCGGCAGGCTCCGGGGAGTCCTGTGCAGCAGCATCCCCAGGCAGCTTCGTGGATGACCCCCGACCCTGGTGCCGCAGCTTCATGCTTGATGAAAGGAGCATGTGGGTGCTGGTGCTCGAGACCCTCAACTTCCAACCTCGGGATCCCTGGGCACGGAGGAGGCCCCGCCGCCGCCGCCCTGGGAGAAGGCGCCTCTTGATCCTCTGCATGGCCCTGGCGTACAGCATGGCCCGGACAGCACACTCAGCTGAGCTTGGTGATCGGCCACTGTTGCTTGGGGCCTGTGTCGCCTGCTGCACTTCAGCCAACCTCAGTTTGTAATACTTATACTCCAGGCTGTCCTCATCTGACAGGAACCTGTGACAGGTACAAGGACAGCACAACAGGCGTCAAGGTAGAGAGCTGCCACTGCAAGTAGTCCTGACACGTGCTTTCAAAGTGAGGGGGCCTCCGGGGTCCTTGAGCTAGCCCAAACACTTCTGCAGCAAGTGAAGCCTAGCGTGTCACAGAGCGTTCCAAGCCACATCAGCACACAACTGCTCACATCCTGGCCTGCTAGAGGGAAGAAACCTCGCTCAAAAACCCCATCTCTGGAACTATTAGATACAAATGTATTCCTTGAAAATCAAAGACTCAAGGAAACAATCATTCCAAGGGACAGATGGATCATATGAGCCAAGTCTGCACTACTTAAGAGACCAGAAGAACTAGATGGTGGCCCGCTACCACTATCAATCACTCTGGTCAAGCACATAGAAAGGTCCTGAACAGAGGAGAGAGAATGAAAGGACAAGATTCAAAACCAGAAAACAGGCCAGATGTACTGGTCTTGATAGAGAATGGAGGAAGCCCTGAGCCTGTGGTCCTCATATACCTTTTTCAAACCTAGAACTGAACCCACCTTGGGGCTTACCCGGCAACCAAATAACAGACACAAGCCTATAATGTGAACAGTAACACTTGTGAAGAACATACTTCTCAGAACCATCAAGTATCCAAGACCAAAAGGGCAGTATTCACCCCCAAACAAAAGTCTGGACAGGAAGAGGCAAGAAAGAAGGCTAACTGAAACTGGGACCCCAGGGAGAAAGTGGGAGGGACAAGTGGTACTACCTTGAGGAAAGTACGACTGCTATGACACAAACAGTTTATCAATCGGTGAAAGGAATTCTAATGTGTAATTCGCACAGTGTGAAACGAGTTTTAAAATTGAAGCCCTCTGGTGAGGGGCTAGCAGGCCTGGGGTGGCAGTAGGGGACACATGTGCTCAGCTACCACAGAACATTCATTCAATGGCAGAGGCCCATGGTTTCCAACCAAGGTTTTAACTCTGCTCCGCCTGGGCACTAGGCACCAGCAGCACGGGAGTGCAGGGGTCACGGAAGCTGCTCGACACCCTCAAATGCACAGCTGGACCCATTAGCCCCAAACATCAACAGCGCTGAAGGTGAGACGTTTGACCCTGATGACAACACACTTCAAAAACACATTTTTCCCCTTTGGCCTAGCAATTTCCCTAGAAGCTGCCAGAAATATAGACAGAAAATAAAAAGTACTCACACAAAAAGGTTCATGCTAATACTAGTGGGAAAAACCCAGCTATATCTAAACTCCCACCTGTGGACAGCAGAGATTAGGTCTGGTACCCATGTATGATGAAGTATTATGCAGCCAATGAGAACAAGGAAAATTATGTCACATGAAAAACCTAGGACATCAGTATAATCAGTACAGAGTACATACCGTGGGAAAAGAGGGACAGAGAGGGAATGAGCGTTTATTTCTGAGTGGCAGAGCTTTGAGGAGGGACTGTCATGTTTGCCATAGAGCGCTTCTGTTTTTACAAAGGGCATGCAACTTGTGTAATTCTGTTTGTTTGCATCGAGCCCTACATCTGTCCCACAGGCCAGTATTCTGTCTCGATTTGAACTGCTTGCTTCTGTAACTGTGCCATTTTCTCGATAAAAAATTCTGTATTTACAAATGCATGTAAATATAGAAAACATATATATAGAGAGAAATATGTATACTTTTCACTGGTTTTGCTTCTCTGGAGAATCTAGACTAGACATGTTCTTGTCAGTAGTTTCTAGGGTTCTTAAACCATCATTTCCTATTTCCCATGCTTAGTATTTTTTTTTCACTATATCATACTATGTTTGTGTCTTTTTTTAATTAAATACTTTTATTGGGGGCCCTTACATCTCTTATCACAATCCATACATTCATCCAGTGTGTCAAGCACATTTGTACATATGCCGCCATCATCATTTTCAAAGCATTCTCTTCCCCCTTGAGGCCCTGATATCAGCTCCCCATTTCTTTCCCCTCCCCCTGCCCCAACTTGTATAATTTTAAAAAGTCCATAAACGTCAAATGTTTCCGTTTCCCACAAACGAATCTAAAGAAATCAGTCTTCACACACCGTAGATGTGATCCATTAAGCTATTCACTGAAGCAATTCAAAGCACAACTCTAAAAAATGCTGAACGGGCAACTGTGCTGTACTTTTTTTTTTTTTTTTTTACAAAAACAAAGTATGCAATTAAAAACATTTACAACACCCAGCAAGAACGGAAAAGTTAAACGGATTCATCTACTCTGGACTAAAATAACGCCATATGGGTTACAGAAAGAAGGGACTTCAAAAGTTTGTGGACAATAAAATAAGCAGCAATGAGTCAAAATGCCTCAACTTAAAAGTTTGTGGAAAAACTTTTCATTCTAGTTTTCCACAGACTTTTTGAAGCCCCTGGTATAGAACACAAGCACATGCTCACGTTAATCTAGTAAAAGTACCCCAGCATGTGCATGAAGATGGGGGTCAAGCATGCCTACGGAAGGGCACACAGGACAGTTCCCCTATTCTCTGCTTCTTTCTCCAATAGCAAACAGCTGACAGTAAAAGCTGCTCTACACCTATGAGGAATAAGGCAAATGGAGACCATCACAGAGCCCTGAACAGCACCAACAATTGTGGTGACACAGCCTGAGCGCACACGGGCCTCTGCATGCATGACTCATCTCATTGCCAGACCAGCCTGGTCAGTGGGGTCACGCCCGCTGGCGAAAAGACCCAACCGAGTTGGGCATTAGACCCAGGTCCATGCAGCCCTTCCCTGTTGTCGGGCAATGTGGCAGAGCAGGAGGCTGGCCGGAGGGGAGCAGCCCAAGCTCGTGCTCTTCCCGCAGCAGCGCCACACCACATCTTGCAGACCCTGCCTTCCATCCCCACCCCCAGCTCGACTACAGCATGTGTCTGTGTAGTGTCTGAAGACTTACCAGTAAGCGGGATCCTCCTTAAGTGCGGCTCTCTCTCGGGGAGACAGGCTGCCTTCTACAATACGCATGACCAGTTTGTCAATGGTCTCCACCACCTTGTGGCCTGCTCGCTGGGGCACAGCTGGAACATAGAATCATGTGGGATCTGGTTAAGACCAGGACAGGCAGTCACGGCCCAAGACCAAACCATTCAGCAGGCAGCAGAGGAAGGCGGTTATTTCCATTCTAGAAACCAACATCAAAATACTCACCCAAAAGATCTAACAGCATAACCACTAGATTAGAGCGTCACAAGCTTATGATGAAGTCAGGGCAATCGGGCAATTGTGTTCTCTCTCTCAAGTGCTTGTGTGTGCTGGCTCTCTACAGCAACATGTAGCGATTGATATTTGTCATGTACCACCTAACAACCTGAATGCCCACTCAAAACTCGCTGCCATTGAGTCAATACTGATTCATAGCCCTGGTGGCATAGTGGTAACTTAGGTGTTGGGCTGCCGGTCCAAAAGGTCAACAGTTCAAAACCACCAGTTGCTTCTCTGGAGAAGACGAGGCTTTCTATTTCCGTGAATAGTTATAGTCTCGGAACCTCACAGGGGCATTTCTACCCTAGAGGGTCGCTATGAATGCCCACAACATAGTACTAACAGAGAAATATAAAGCTAAAACCAAAAAAACAAATCAAACCTGTCATTGAGTTAGGCCAGAGGAGGGCACTCCACAGGGGTTTCAAGGCTGTCATCATTACAGAGCAGACGGCGGCCTCGCTCTCTTAAGCAGGGACTGCTGGGTTCAAACTGATCTTGCAGCGAGCAGTGGAGCAGTTACCCACTACACCACCAAGGCTCCTCAGAGATATAAAACGCATTTAAATATAAAGCTGTCTCTAGATATACAATGTATCTAGATAATAATCCTCAGTATAAAAGTGGGAAGAGAGAGACACATGACCATATGTAAAAATGATGAAAACAAAGTACACCAGAGTGCTAGCAGTCCGTAACTTGGTGCCTTCGTTTGATTAGTAAAGGGGAGACCTGGTGGCAGAGCAGATAGGTCAGCAGTTCAAAACCACCATTTGCTCCCCAGGAAATAATTATTAAAAAAAAAACACTTGTGTTTTGTAACAAGGTGGTAGAATATTTTAAAAATAGTTAAGGGGAAGGCTGCACTGCTTGCCTGAATAATGTTACCAATGACGAAAAACTGTCCACGTGGTAATTTGTTCAACTGGTCTATGGTTTGCTGTGTGCATTTTCAACCCAAGATAAAATTATATATTATAAAAGATTTTACAAAGAATAAGTCTCTAATTAAAAATAATAATAAAGTCAAGGACCCCACGGTAGATGTTCACAGAAAATATTTGCTGAGTATATAAAACACTTTCTTTTTTTTCTTTTTAAATTAATCGTTTTATTGGTGGGGGGTCTCTTACATATCTTGTAACAATTCATCATTCAATAGGATTAAACACACTTGTATACATGTTGCCATCAACATTTCCAAAACAATTCCTTTCTACTTGAGCCCTTGGTATCAGCTCCTCCTTTTTTGACCTTTTTAAGGTGTGAATTTATGACGACTGTCCTTTTAAATGACACCAGCAACATGGAAGGCTTTGCTCTTCCCAACAAAAAGAATCATGAGTCTTTTGTTATATGCTGATTCTAATGAACACAAACTGGTTGATTTCTTCAGCCACTCAATAGAAACTGCTGGAGTGAGAGCTGTCTTCCTGGGCTCCCAGGCGGGGCTGGGCCTGAGCCGCATGGCCCTAAGCTCACCCTGAGCATCAGCAAGAGCTTGCTGCGAGGCATTCTCCCTATGAAACTATTAAACTTTCCCATCATATTTCTATTGACACTCGTTCTATGAACCTTACATTTACATAATGTTAAGAGTACAAGTGGCTCAAAGTCAGATGGAAGGCCCTCAGTGCGCTGAGGTAGGAGTGACAGTGGGGGCCACATGCTTCAGAGGCAGGTATGGGAATAAAAAAGAAGTCAAGAGGCCTGTGGGCTTAGGCCAATAGTTTTGGGAGACACCCAAGTCAACTATCCATATACTGTAGTCCAAAAAAACCATGTTCCATATTCTATTATGATAAGTAGGGACTGAGATCTTAAAAATGACTGTTTTCTCCCCATCTTGAGGCAAAGAGGGAAGAAAACTGAGGCTTGGCCTAATGGACACATAAACATTAGCCTCCAAGACCCTGAGAAAACCACTACCAGCTGTTCTCTAAGGGGTCATGTTAGAAAGTTCTCGAGAGAAAAAAAAAAAAAAGAAAGTCCTCGAGAAAGGAGGAGAAACTGTGAAATAGAACTCAAAAAAAAAAAAAAAAAAAGACCAGGCTCACTGGCTGACTAAGTCCTAAGATTATGTATGACCCCTCAGGTCTGGAATGGAATTCAGCCCTTGTGGCTCAATGTTCAAACAGAGAAGTCGATAAGCAGCAACACGACCACCAGAGGCACGCACTCCTTGGCCCAATCCACTATTTCAGATCAAACGAGCAGTATTTACCCAAGGACAAAGTTCAGAAGGCAAAAGGTTGTAAAACGCGGAGGAATGGAAGCAGGAAGAGCAAGGAAGTAGTAGGATAAATAATGATGCACAGGAAAAATGAGGAGCTGATACAGTAGAAAGCAAATGTTTTGAGAATGATGATGGCAACAAATGTACAAATGTGCTTGACACAATGGATGGATGGATGAATTATGATAAGAATTGTACGAGCCCCCAATAAAATGGTTAAAAAATAATGATGCATAGGGGGGATTGCAATCAATGAGAAAAACAAAATGTCTATCAACTGCTGAAGGGAAAACTGACTTGCTCTGTAAACCTGCACCCAATTCACAATCAAGTTTTTTAAAAGTCCATTCCAATTTAATGGATATTAAAATAAAATAGGCATGATCAATGAATTTTAACAAAGCAAACGGCCCACATCACCCAAGAGCAATCAGAAGCAGCGGGGGCCCTAACACTGACCAAGCACAGCCCACTAGTCTCTCCCTAGCCCCTTCCAGCCTTTGTAGCCCCATGGATGATGGAAGTCATCAAACTGTGCAGCCAAGAACATACATGATTGGGGGAGCTGAACCTGTACTTGGCCCCTCTCTTGGCTTCAGAGTCCCTCGTAAAAGGCCCTCAAGTCTAACATGTAGCACCCCAGCACGTGCAGCAGCAACAGAAGCATTTATTTCCCATGCACCTTGAGGCCTGCAGAGGCCTGAGGGCCACAGCTGAGCACTGTGCAAGATGAGGTGACTCCAGGCTAGGCTGGTGACCAGCCTCTCCTCGCTGTCACTCTGATGTCTATCTCCATAACGTTTGTGGGGTAGTGGGGAAGTGACACTAGCTTCAGCTACAGACCCTCTGTGGAGGTTGCCCAGGTGGGTGGGGCCTAGTATGAGACTCGGCTGCAGACCTGCAGGAGGCCGCAGAAGGAACAAAGCCATGACTGAGGCTGCCCCATGTGGTTGAGGACACTGCAGGGAAAGCAGAGGGATGACAGAGAAGAATGCTAACACATCTTTACAGCATCAGGCACATCGGAGCTGGGAGCAGTCTTCCTGCTCCAACTCCCTCTTCTCCCAGTTCTTCTGCTCACGATTAGCCAGTGTTCCCTTGGTTGCTGGGACTTGTCAGTCTAGACAGTTGGCAGGGGTGGGGGTGGGGTGTGTGGAAAGGCACTTCCATCACCTAGGACAGCCTAGCTGATGTTTGCCTGGCCCCCACTAGACTCCAAGACCACCCAGGCTGGCTGGGGGCTCCAGGCTCTCCAGTCTTCGTGCCAGCCCGGCTGCTCACACAATTCCCCCTACCCTGGAAACTCCTCAGAGACAGGGACCAGGGTATATGCTTCCTGTCATGTCCCCAAACTGGATCAGGGATCTTAATCTTGGCTTCAAGGGAGCACAAACTGTAGGCCAGATTAGGTGCAAATATACCATGCATTTTCCCTGGCAAAGACTACCTTTCAAATCCTCAAAAGGTGAAAGTCTGAGGACTTCGGGGACAGATTCTTGATACGTCTGTAAACTATGTGGCAGACATGCATGAAGTAGTCCCCATTACAACAGAGTTCTGCCCCAATGACTTCATTCTAAGTAGGTTATAAGTCAAGTGCCTTATCTATTTTCATTTTTATTGTCTTTTACCATCAGCTGGTAGCACTGATGGCACAGTGGTTACTCACTGGGCTGCTAACTTCAAGATCAGCTGTTCGAAACCACCAGCCACGCCAAGGAAGAAAGACGTAGCTTTCTACTCCCGTAAAGCATCGCAGTCTCAGAAACACAGGGACAGTTCTACCCTGTTGTGTCACTATGAGTTGGCATCAACTCAATGGCAGTGAGTTTGGTTTTGGTTTTAACTATCAGCAACTTTAAAAATCCATCCTTTCACTAATAACTATGAGTACAGGAAGAAGAGAATGTTCTGAAATTGATATTGGTAATGATTGTACAACTGCTCTTGGTATGATTGAACTACTGAATTGTATGATATGTGGGAGAAGTGCTAATAAAACTGTTATTTAAAAAAAAAACCAACCCTGGCCTGTCTTTGGAAGTTGGAAGCATTACATATATATTTGTTAACACTGTACATACTATTACATGTTAAAAACAAAACAAAACATGTCATAACTGCAGTACTTTATAACTCAAAAACATCAAAAGTCAGTACGTTGGAGGCTACCTGTACTGACCAGGATGGATCACCTCACTTGTTTTCAGGTGCCTACAGAAATTCCTATCTGGGTAAAAACCCTAAAAGGGAGTAAGAGAAATGACCCAAAAACAAGAAGAACCAACAAGTCACAGATAGAACTTTCCCTTCCTCACCATCACTCTGGTCACTCAGGGCCTTGGGCGGGACGTCCGGTTGCGTGGAAGGGACTTTCTCCTCCTCCTCTTGCATTGGCTCAGGCACAACCTTCCTGATGCGGAGCGGGTACCCACTGGTGACCAGCCAGGCCTTCAGATGGTCTATGTACTCTCTGCCAAACAAGGTGGAGTCCTCGAAGTTTGGAAATGCGGCAGGTGAGGGAGCTATGTCTTGGAGGCCAACAGCTTCTAAGATTTTCTCCTGCCTGAAGGAAGAGGCCAAGGAAAAGGTCTGTCCCAGAAGGGCCAGGGACTTGCGGCAGAGAGAGTTGGTGGTCTCCAGAGCGATGGCCAGGTCCAGGGGGTTGGTGAGAGTCTTCATCTTAACACTGAGCTCATACGCGTTGCAGGCCATGAGCAGGGGTGTGACGCTTTTCAGAAGTCGGTCCTGGAGCCTCATTATGTACTTGTCAAAGGGCTTTATGACTTCAAAAAAGCAATTTTTGGTTTTCACAGCACCTTTGTCTAAAAGCAGGTTTAAAAGCTCATTATCAACTCGGGGTGTTTTCAAAGCGGAGTGCTTTAAAAATTTAATAGTAAAAAAACAAAAATCTCTGTGCTCTGGCTTCAAGGAGCATTTGAATGAGGCCAGCGTTTTAGCACAGGTCTCGGTTTCCAGCTCAAAGAGAGTCTGAAAAAGTTGGGAAAATTTGATATCATCTTTTATGGTGTGAAATCCTGCCCATTTGATGATTTCGATCCCAAACCTTGAAAAGACATCAGTTTTATCTATGTCAAAGTTCATCTTTCTTCTGGGGAGCCGGATGTTCTTCAGGTCGAGCCCCAAGGGGATCTTCGGCACAGGAAAATGGAGGTCTTGGGTGCCCAGGATCACATCAGGATTTAGGGTGATTTTCGGAATTTGGTTAGTGGCCTGAGATTTGGAAGCAATACGGTTTATAGTGGGCGTTTTCTTAGTGTTCATGTTTCTTAGTGCGACAAGTTTCCCAACATCCCCTTTGGCCTTGAGTATGGCCTGTGTCTCCTCCTTCCCTAGGAGAGCACTTTCCGGGTCAGCGATGTTGAGAACTCGGCCTCTGCTGGGTGCCTGGCTGCTGCTCCAGTGCCCGGGGTTTGCCTCACCTGGATGATCCATGTCGAAATTCTGACTCTCCTTTTCCAAACACTTCTTATCAAGCAGCCGAGAGGAGCCAAAGTCCTCCAATATCGCAGAAGGGCTCAAAGTATACTCCTGTGATCTAGAGGAGTCTTGGGAAATTGAATGACCACAGTCTTGTTCCCAAGAGCTATGGAGTGCAAATTTCCAGTCCTGAGAATGGAAATGTCCCGATTTCCGGTGGCCAAAGACCTGGTCCCGAGAATCAGTGTGGGAAAGATCCAAGTCTTTGTGTAAGAAACTCTCGTCACTCAGGGAAGGGGTGCTGGATCTGAAGGAAGGCTCCGGAAACACCTCTCCTCTCAGGCTTTCTCTGGACCGACTGAGCGAGTATCTGGCTTCACTGTGAATGTCATCATACATATCTGCTCGGGGTCATGGGATGGCCCTCATGAGATCTGAAACACACAAGTCAAAGAGAAACACATAAGGCCCTTAGATGGAAGGCTGAACAGGTGCTCCTGGACCACCAGGCAAAAGTGCTCTCTGAAGTCACAGTACTTTTTTCTAAACTCACTTGTGTCACCAACATGTGAGATCTACGCATTTTGCTTAAAACCCTGGATTCACCACTTAGGACAGCAGAAAACTAGAAGCACTAGGTAGGTCTGCACTGTAAAGTGCCCACCCCTCTTAGGCTCAGGGGATGGGATCTGGCCATGTTACCTGAACGTCTTCACTATGATTGGAATGTTTTTGTATTTCTGCTTCTGTCTCAGGTTCTGCGAAGCTCAACTGCCCTCACTTCTCCTGCACAGAGCTTGCATCCGCAGCAAGGCTGCACCATAGCTAACACTACTGGACCAAGGACGCACAGCTGACCCCAGGGAGCAGGCACCACTGCTCACAAAGATCTGCTGGGTCTGTCCAGAACCCTTGGGAGCAGAGCAGTGAGTTTGCAGCCTCGAGTGGGTAAGGCAGAAGCTAAGGCGCTCCAGGCAGAGGAGCCACCGTGGAGATGGAACAGCAAACACCTCCTCCTCTGTGCAGAAAAGAACAACGCTGGCACGTGTTTGCATTTGTTGAGACAAATGGTCAGAAGCCCATGTGAACTACAGGCGGATGAGAACCACAGGCCAAAGGCCAGTGAAAGCAAATGGCCTGACAGAGTATAAAAAAAGGCCAGTGCAAACCAGAGGCCAAGGCATGGTAGCAAGCCCCTAGTATGAAGCTGCAGGAATCATGTGAGGCCAGTGGCCAGTGCTGGACTCATGACCACGTCAGATGAGGGAAAAAGAAAATGACAGATACGTGCACCTGCACCCTCATCCTAGAGCTGGGTTTCCAAGTGGGCTTGTTAGCCCTGTGACAGCGGCGCGAGGGGTCTATTTTCTCAGAGGAGGCTGCTAGAATGGAGGGGGCGGGGTGACATCCCTGGGAGGAAGGAACCAGTTCCCAAACGCCAGCCATTGAAAGCCCCATGGCGCTCCATCCTACTGACACACCCAGGATTGACTTCATGGCAGAGGAAGGGCCACATCTGTGGGCTGTCCTTGTCCTCTGGTCCCTTCACTCTGTGAGGGACTGCTTCTCCCCTGGAAATGCTCACATAGATTAAGTGAAGACACCTTTTTTGTAGTTTCAAGACTCACTTTTATGTCCACAAGCCCGTCTGCAACATTGTTAAGACTGCAGCTGATCCGTTTTAGAAGGCACCACAGGTTTGACCTGTCGGTCAACAGTCAGACTTTTTCACGCATAACTTATTAAAAATAGAATGAAGAATAAAGGGGGGGAGGGAGGAGCTGATATTGTGTGGCCATGCTGAGCCTGAGGGGCCACAGGATGCCTTAGTCAGGCTCCTTGGCCCCAGTCTTCACAGAGCACTGCCTGTATATGTATGTACCACTCTCTGCACACAGTTACAGCAGGGTGGCCACATAGGCAGCCCTGCTGTCCTGGGGCTGCTTCCCAGTGGGAGCAGACGATGACCAGAAATACATCAGGAGGAAAGCGTGCCAGGGAGGACCAGGCAGGTTGGCGAACAAGGTCAGGTGTGAGGGTGGGTTGGGTAAGGGGGACAACTGAGGAAAGACGACCACCTTTAAGCAGGGTTGTCAGGGGTTTGATCCTACTTGATTTGATCAAGTATTTGTTCTGCCACTAACACAGTGAATGGCAATTGCGGGGAAGAGGAGGCTAGACTACAAGGCTGCTGGGTACCTCCAGACAGGAATGGGTGAAGCCAGCAGGGGGAGGTAGGCTGGTTTAGAGGGACTGATGAGCCAAGGATAGTTAGGAAGCCCCAAACTTTACTGCTCTGGGATCCCCAATTCTCTCACTTATAAACGTCTCCAGATGGTTTTAATGTATGAATCAAGCCAAGGAATCGTTGGGGAGGAGACACCCTCAATGAATTCTGTAGTTCACTCTGAGGAGGCTGGAAGGTCCCTGAAGAGCTGAGTAGAGATGAGACCTCTGGCCACTACGCAAAGAAGAGACTACAGGAGGCCATGTGGAGACCAGCTCAACGATATCCAGGCATTGACATCTACTGTGGGGTGCTACAGGGGGTAGTGGCTGGGTTTTGCACTAGATTTGCAAAATCCCCTGGCTTAAGAGGAAGCAGGGCAGCTCAGCTTTCATTACAGAGATGGTTTCAGAACAACCTAGCTCTACCCTCCCTCAAATCTTTCTGTAAATACTGTTTTGACATTTGAGTCTGTCTAGATGAAGACAAGCCAAGATCTCAACCTTCAGATATTACATATTAACATATGAATTTACGAGATATACAAATATTTCAAAGAACAGAAACACATACCACAGATATTTACCTCTGAGGGGATAAGAAGGCCTAACTACTGTACATTTTTTAAAAATTAAAATGTTTTTGCAAATCACTTATGTATCATCTGAAATCTCAGAGCTAAAGACAATCAATCCCTGCCCTCAGACTCCCTAAGGCAACACTGCAAGCCCCCTCTCTCCATGTCATGAGTGAGCTGGTACAATCCCACACCTGTGTCTCTGCTCATGGTGCTGCCCCAGGCCATCAACAGAGGACACACTGTACTAGGGGATGAGATTTGGGGGAGGGAGTTCAGGGAGCAAATCTGCCAGGCAGCTTGGTAAGGCTTCCTGGGGAAGGGACCAGAGGGATCTCAGAACCTAGTCCCAAAACCAAGTGCTTAAACAGGCCAAGCACGAGCGTCATGGTGGTCCTGGAATGTGAGCCTTGGGCTGTGATGAGGAGCCTCTGCACTGTCCCCCCAGGGTAATGTGGGCAATATTTTATTTTCCTGGCAAAGCAGGGACCATTTTCAGGAGAGGTCTGCTTGGCAGTTCCACACAGACTCCCACTCCCTCTGCTTGACTAGGTCCAAAGTACACAGCAGTCACTTGAATGCTCCTGCACTCAACTAGGTTCAAATCTGGCAACAGAGCCTCAGACTCATAACAGTGGGAGTTGGGGAAACACACACCACAAGACCTGGGAGTGAGGTAATTGTGGTGGGGTGGATCCTTATAAATTCAAGAATCTGCCGTAAGGTGGGTGTTGGTGGCCCTGCACAGGAGAGACAAAGAAACACCAAATAGTAATGTAACGCATAGGTCCAGAGGGGGGTGGGAAGGTGATTTTGTTTTCACAAGGGAGGAAGGGAAGTAATGGGGTGGGGAAGGAGTTTGCCAGAGGCACTGAAAGTCTCTTGCCTGGCCTCCAGATGTCTTCCTCAAAACACAGTTCAATTTACCTTGAGCTCTAAACAGAATAGTGTTGCCCACAACTGAAGCACTGGGGTTCCACCCACACGGGATCACTTAGCTTTTCCTTGCAGCACAGCATCAAAAGTGTCCTGTGTTATCTACCTTGCTCCCATGAAGTCCCTAACCTGTAGTGAGGGGGGGAAAGGTACTGCAAATGACCACCAACGCTGCCCTCAAAGAGAGGAAGCAACAACCCAACCAGGTACTTAGGTGGGCAGGGCAGACTCTCCTAAGGGGGCCTATGCCCCCAGGAACCCGCCCACCCACCCACGTGTGAGCCAGTTGAGAAGGAGTCAACAACATTTTAGACAACTTCTTTTTTTCACTGAGCTCATTTCCCTGGAGTGCATTAGGAGAGGCTGTGTATGAAGGACCGAATACACAGTGGAGGGTAGGGAGTTTAACTCAGCCCATATCGTGTGAAGCAAAGCCAGGACTGTGACCTGTCTTTTCAAGATGGGCCAGGAGGCGCAAAGAGACCACTTCCCACAGCCTGTCCACAAGTGGGTGGAAGAAGCCTGGATTAGTGTCAGTGATAATAGGCAGCATCTCCTGGGCATCAATTCCTGGCTAGGTTGTTCTTTCTCAGTACCTTCAAAGCAACCAAACTAAACTCACAGCAACCCTGGAGGACAGGGTAGAATTGCCCCTGTGGGTTTCCAAGACTAACTCCTTACAGGAGTAGAAAGCCTTTCTCCTTTGGAGTGGCTGGTGGCTTCAGGCTTCGCGTAACTACTACACCATGAGGGCAACTCGGTGGGTTCAAACTGCCAGCCTTTTAGTTAGTGGCCACCCACATCACTGCCTGCTCCACTCATGTAAAATTATAGGAATAAAAAGACAAACGCACATACATACACATCACCTGCGAATCTTGTTAAAATGTAGACTAGGATTCCATCTATTTGGGGTGGAAAAGCAAATTCTCCACAAGGGGTGCCGTGGAAACAGGTTGGTGGTCCTGGTCTGAACTGTCAAACTTTCTGCTCTATGCTGAGTGCAAATGATGTCACCGGAGGGTGTTTTCCCCCAAAAGCTCAGAATCTAGAAAAACACCGTGGTGCTCATCTCTAGTGGGGTCACCATGAATCAAGATCAACTCAAGGGCAACGGGCTA